GGTTATTCACCAAAAAAACCCAAAAAACAAAGTGTCTGCACACAAAAAAAGTGTAATATCATTTTGAGTGGCCAAGTTCAGTGATAAAACTTTCTCAAAAAAAAAAAGGTTCGGTGATAAACTTTAGAATGAGCAAATTACGTCTTGGCTCCAAATTTTAGAACTGAATTATTAATTTGTTTATATTATACCATGTCAAGTCATTATAATCATTTGTCGTATTATAAAACAACACAGTAGAGTATAATATATACACAAACTCTTTCACCTGTACGTATGGGATATATATGCACGCATGAAATTGCAATGCATAGAGACTATCGAAATGAAGAGATTTACTAGTCCAATTTTGTGTATGATTTATCTGAAGGGTTTGAGAAGAATTTAGGGAGAGATTTCCACCGTTGATGAAATCGAAATCGAGCACATCCGTTGATTTTGATCCGGAATTTGCTTATCTTCACTCTTCTTGTCATCTCCTTACATCTTTGTTTCATCATTAAATTGCCTTTTGGTACCTTCACAAGTTCCTTTAGGTATTTGCATCTTCCATTTTCTATAAACCAGGAACAGTTTTTCAAAATACTTAATTTAATTCTAAAACCCTAATACAAGAGGCAACAATAAAATAATAGTACATAAATTCTTTTAAAATCGGTACCCTTTTGAGTAGTTTCTTCTTCTTCTAGGCTTGTGTTATTTAGCAGCTGCTTAACAATAAAAAATTTCAAAAACAAAGAGAGTCAGCTTGTTTATTGTAAATTCGTGTAAATGATATATGATTATAATACCTTAACCAAACTGTCCATTCTTTTTCTCATTCTTCTCTGTACGTACCCTCTCGAACACTATTTCAGCCATTGAAATTGTGAGAAATTTCAAGAACAAGATACATAATATCTGTGGTTTTGTTTTGCGGGGAAAAAAAATAATAGAGTAATTAATCTACCTTAATATGGTATTTAACGTATGCGTAGAAATTTAATAAGTTCCAAACCGTTTGGTCAAGTCTTCTTCCTTCAACGTGCCGTGAAGTAATATCTGCAATATAAAAACAAGATTGAAACTCGTGTTAATAATATACTAATTAAAGAGGATTAAATAAAGTAGTTAACATAATTAAGATATACCAAAAGAGACAAAACCAGAATTGGTGATCAAGTCTTGGACCGGTTCTCCTCTAAGTTGGAGAGGAGGAATTGGTGACCAATTACATTGTGGTGCCTTTCCCATTTCCTTTTGGCTTCCCACTTCCACTAGTTCCTTTTTTTTGTTGTCCAAAATTTAAATTGATAAATAAAAACCATATAGATAAAAGCTTTATAATAGATTTGTTTTTTCGTTTTGGTACAATTGCCAAAAAAAAAAAAAAACCCTCCTATTGCAATAGTCGAAACCAAAATTCGAATATTATAAGTTTTCGATTCAATGTAATGCATACAGTATGTGGGTTCGAGTATTTTGTGATCGATAGTTGTAAATGGGATAATTTGTTTCACATATTTATACTTTTCGTGAGAAGAAAGTATCATTTAACATTTTGATTGCAGTGATTATCGTAATTACGCTTATTTTGCAATGCTTATAGCGACCACGATACTTCAACTGCTACAGTCATTCAAAACATTTCATTTTCACCTACAAATCATTTCATTTCGGGTGTTTTTTTCCTTGTTCAATCTTAGAAACATAGATGTATATGTATTGTAATTGTACCTGGAAGAATGATGTAGCGATGACCACATCCGAATTGTCTTTAAAATTCATTGGAAACACTGCCGTAATTTTCTCCAGCTGAGGAACAAAAAAAAAAACATTCAAGACTTACGCTAAAATTAAGTTAGATTAATTCGAGAAAAAGCATACGAACGAATCATATTTATTAACTTTAAATACCTGTTTAAAGACGTAGAAAGGTTGACTTGGATGATAAACAATCTTGATGGGCCTGTTCGCTAATTGTGAATCATCTTGAAAATTCAAATTTCTTAGCATCTCTTTTAGTTGGCTACTTAACATTAGCGCTTGTATTTCAGAAATCCTTGTAATGATTTTAATCGCTTCTGCAGTTTGAAAGAGTCAAAATTAAATGATGAATATTTACAGTTAAGTAGTGGGAAAAAACACACTTTACAATTCTAATTTTGTTTTGGTCAACAACAAGCACATTAGTAGTGTATTTTGAATTGGAATGATTACACAATTACTATAAATCACTAGTATACATGTATTGGTTTGAAGTACTTTGAACCTTTTCTGTTTTTAAACGTACGTATAACAAAATATTTTATGTTTAATTTAATATATAAAAGCTTACCCTTGCCACGGGGAATATTATCAAGGTGAAGCCTAAGGGTCAATTGAAACCCTAATCTTGGTGGATCAACAATATCTATCACACCAACTGCAATTTTCTCAATCACCTCATAAGTGTGATTTGAAATCTCCTTCAATATCACTGTTCCTTGTGTCTCAAGCAACGTTGATGTCGATACATACGCAATATTTGGATCCAAAACCGAGCACTGCATGTCCAAAACATATATTTAATATCTGTAACAGTAATCTAATTAAAAAATCAAGAAAATTATCATAAAAATGACCAAGACTCATATGTATATACCTTGATGTGATATTGAATCGAACCAAACTCGTAGAAATGTTGATCGATCTCAAAAGGTTTTTCAGCACTGCCATGGATTTTAAGGACAGTAAAAACGTTATATAAATCGAATCCTCTCGATGGAAATCCAAACCGGAAAAGATTGTTAGGTACGAGAGTGACTAAACCGGAAATGAAATCGGACTGGATGATTAAAGAGTGGCTTACTGATAAATCTTGAGGAGTGTCTCTTTTAACGTTGGAGATGATCTTTCGAGATATGCCATTCTTGGAATAGCTCCGAAGACACTTGAGAGCACAAATTTTTTTAATTTATCTTCTTTTGAAGATGATCCACATTATTATGTATGTGTGTGTCTTTCATTAAGTGCGTTTGTTGGTTTGTTTGTATGTATGTGTTTAGGTGAATTAGTGGAAGTTGAGTAAAATGTAAGTTAAAAATTTGCAATCATTTTTATCTAGTTTCTAAGCAAACATGTAAGCTATACGTGTGATTTAAAAACGAATCATGTGAGTCTACTAGTGAGCCCAATCTAAACGTAGTCCCATTAAGAAGGCCTACACAAGAGTTTTGACAATCTAATCATGAGTCAGGACAAAGAATGAATCTAATGCTTTTGTCAGGATTACAAAACAGAATCTAACAAAAGAGTTATAATCCAAAAGT